CCTTCCACTCCAACATGAGCAGGCACCCATACTAATTCTGCTAGAATTCTCAGATTCCGTATTCGGCACAAACTTTGCAGTTCTAATCAAATATCTTGTCTAGATTCTGATTTTCCACTCAGTATACGTGTGAGTGCAGAATATGAATCTGAACAGATTACCACTGTTGTTGGTTGGATTTCTTCCACCCACTGTAAAGCTATCTGAATAGCGATCATCTCTGCTGCATAAAACAATATATTATTAGAAGTTCTTTTTGCAGATTTATATTTAAAGTGAGGAATATACATGGCAGCACTTGTACGCCCAGTTTCTGGGTCTTTAGAACCATCTGTATAAATTTGTAAAAATTGAAAGTAATAACTATCTAAATGCTGCTGCACTATTGTCTCTTTTGGAACATATTTCTTGTTTTCATTTATTAAATTAAATATTTGCAAATCAACTGTTGGCATAGAAAAAAAACCAAGGTGGATATACTGGCAGAGCCACCGTGGGGTTAATATCAATATTACTGATATCTATTTGTTGAGCCTGCTTGCCTACTGTCCAGCCAAAACTATTAATATATGTCTGCTCATATTCCCAGCAGCTCTCCAATAGTTTTTTTACTGGATGATTGGTAAAAGTACCTTTAATACCAGTCCAATATACCATTTTAAGCTGAATTTCACGAATGTCTAGTGGTGTTTCACCCTTTTCTACCTGCAAAGCTGTCACAGGAGAGGATCTAAACGCTACACAACATATTCTACGGGCTTGGTTTTGAATCACCTCTATCCTAGTTAATACTGAGGTTGACCGGTTACATAAAAAAATAAAAATAAAAAAAAAACCTTGCTTATTATAGTCGCATAAGCTGTTGATACGACAAAAAAGCTTCGATGCGCAATACTGTTAAATACACGGTAGTGATAAGGCAGGTCTTTTATCAGAGAAATACGTAAATATATTTGCTATCATCCTGGGTTCGGTCGAACCTTTGCAGACGTAACACAACCGGAAACAAAATGAATAGTACGGTAAAGGTCCCATTTTCTAATCTGCTACTGTATCTTAAATTAACAATGTTGTGACAGATATATGACTCTAATACTATAAATATTTTTTTGGTTCTAAAAATTTTATATTTAATATAACCATATATTTTAATATTTGCCTTAAGAATTGAATTATGCTCATTTAGTAAATTAATAAAGGCTGAAATGGTATGCTGTAATCTTATATTTGATTAAATATGTATTGACATTTTGACAGTTTCTCACTCAAAACAAACATGCAAAAAGCATTATTACAAGAAGTCAGACAAGGCCTTGGAACAGGGATATGACAGTCATCATAGGTTATGCTCATTCTATTATAATATCAATATAACAGCCCAACGTTTTTTGCAACAATGTAAACGTATCATTTACAAGCATAAAGCCAATACACAAAATATTATGAGACAGTTACAATACATGAAATTCTAAAAATGAATGAAGGCATATTTTATGATTTCATTAGTATTTTATAAACTTTTATATATGTTAGATAATTTTATAAGTAGACGTTTTAAGTAGAGTTTTTGTAAAGAATTCATATATATATATATATATATGATTATATATACCCTTAGTCTTATTTAATTTCTTTATTTTTAAAATGTGTATAAGTAGTATTTATAAAGTTTTAGCTTTTAGTTTTGGATGTGTTTTTAGTTGTTTTAATACTAGAATTGATTGCTTCTGTTGTCCTCATTTGTAAGTCGCTTTGGATAAAAGCGTCTGCTAAATGACTAAATAAATAAATATATATATATATATATATAAACATCTTTCTTGAAAATAAAAAGAAGGCATTCTTTTTATTAGGAATGTAATATTTTGCTAGGAATAGTAATACAATTATTATATACTTAATATGAAGAGAATCGCCGAAAAACACAATTTTGGCTAATACAGAAGTTGGCTATTACAAAATTAGAAAAATCAATACAAAACACAAAATACGTGGATACTTGTATCTTCAAAGTGATGACAAAATGAGCATAAAATAACCCTATGTTTATGACAATGTAAATCCTCATAATAATCAGCGAGTGCGCGTGCGCAGTTTCGGCAGCTCAAGCAAGTGTGCGTGTTTCTTTAAAGACGTGCAGTGCGTACACGGTGTGTGTGTGTGTGTGTGTGTGTGTGTGTGTGTGTGTGTGTTTGTGTTGCTACACTATTTGACAGCTCGACCATTCTGTTCCTGCGCATTACCATTACAGACCATCCGACACCGATGGTGGGAGGGTGCACGTTTTCTCTTGAGTTGACAGCACTGGATGTTATAAATGTGTGGTTTTATGTAGCACGCTAAAGATTGACGAAACGGAGGCCATGTACCGATCAACTCAGGTTTGATCGTAGAAGATGCTCGGACCCGAGGACTGGTGCTGGAATTACGAAGACATGATGTAGCCATTGAGCGGGTGATCTGTAGCGTCCAAAGACGGTGTTTCTCATCTGATCGGTAATATTTCTTTTCTATTCTATACATTCGGCGTCATATGCGCGTACAGCATTTTTTTGTTCCTCGTAGGCGCGTTCCGAGTCAGCTGAACTGACTGAACTGAGTCAGATGCTCAAAAATGTTGTCTAGGTAGGCAGCTCACTAGGGTTTGAAATACAGCTTTTCGAATGGCGACCAGTGAGGGAGACGTAAACATGGGCGTCCAAAGACGGTGTTTCTCATCTGATCGGTAATATTTCTTTTCTATTCTATACATTCGGCGTCATATGCGCGTACAGCATTTTTTGTTCCTCGTAGGCGCGTTCCGAGTCAGCTGAACTGACTGAACTCAGTCAGATGCTCAAAAATGTTGTCTAGGTAGGCAGCTCACTAGGGTTTGAAATACAGCTTTTCGAATGGCGACCAGTGAGGGAGACGTAAACATGCATAATTTGATATGGATACCAGTATTAATTACAAGCTTAGATTAGCTGCCAAAAAGAAGGGAATTGAAATGAATCGCTAGATGGGTCATGATGAGCCAGTTCGACGATGCAATGCAGCACTGACCCAGAACACAGCTGCTATCCTCGCTGCTGGACTGTCAGTAACGTGACAGAATCGGAACGGGTTTATTTGAGACAGACTTCACACAGGACTAGACTGTGCAACCGATCTGAGTTTTCTGGAAGAAGTTGTGCACTTCTCCGGTTTCAGGACAGGCATTGAATGTCACACTTTCACCGAAATGCTTAGTCAGTTTGCTTAACTGCTTAAACTTTTAAGCACAGGTGGTAATACTAACACAACACATTGTAAATCTTTTTGATAAGAACACGTCTTTGCAACCTTTGCAAAAAGGTTAATATGGTAACCGTAGTTTGGGCGCAAATGGTTAAAGTAGTAACTAATCATTATTTATATATATATATATATACACACATACAGCACACTAAACAAATACAGCAGCAATAACTGTGGTGGTGTGAAAACACCCTACATTTTTAGGTATGTTGACCTAACTTCTGAATTGTTTGGTAGGAAAACATTGGACAAAAATATAATGTATATGTAAATAGAAAAGAAATCATAGCTGATTTTCCCATCTGTGAATAAGCATGAATTTGACCTTTTGTTAAAGGCACAGCTCACCAAATATTGTACATTTTGTCATCATTTTCATGCTCATGTTGTTGACTTTCTTCTCTCCTTGGAACACAAAAGAGAATGGCAATCTCAGATCATTTGCTATAGAAAGGGGCTATTCACATATGCGTTTTGCTTTCAACTGCACTGCTTTTCCATTGTTTTTCTATTTAAACATGCACTAAATGCACGTATTTGACCATAGCGAGTGGTGCTCAAGTAAAAAAACGTTTTTTTTCTCAAGACCTTGCCTTTTTTTCTTTTCACTGCCCTGTATCTGTGTCTGAACCATCCCTGCTAATAGTGAGTCCCAAATATGCTGCTAATATCTCTTTGTCTTTGGCTGTTCACAAACATGTGTTTGTGATAATGCGCTAAACGGATGTGTTTGACTGTTGTGCTCATGTCTCACGTCTTTTACTTGTAAATGCTGCAGTGACAATAAAAGTGAGTTGAGTTGAGTTGAGTTTTACAGTATCTCATGCATGATGGCATTATAAAACACGTCTCTGGACCTGTTTTTATTCTCTCCCCTGCCTTGCATCTCACATTTTAAAAGCAAAAAGCATTCTGTATGAATGGCCACTTATGGGTTTGGAGCAACATGACCTTGAGTAAATGATGACAGAATTTTCATTTTGTCCAATGAGATGTTGTTAACATGTCGTGTCTTTGCTGCATGGAACTGTCAGATCAGCAGTCTTCCCCATGATTGAAGGCTCAGGAAACCTTTGCAGGTGTTTTGAGTTGATTAGCTGATTGGCATGTCACCATATTCTAATTTGTTGAGAGAGTGAATTGGTGGATTTTTGTTAAATGTGATCCCAAATCATCACAATTAAAAGAACCAAAGACTTAAACTACTTCAGTCTGTGTGCATTGAATTTATTTTATACACGAGTTTCACAATTTGAGTTGAATTACTGAAATAAATGAACTTTTCCACGACATTCTAATTTATTGAGATGCACCTGTATATCCCTACATCCTGTCTTCTTCCACCCGATTTACTCTCCGTCTCTCTCCCTTTCCCCAGAGTTCCAACCTTCGTGAGTCAAGATTTTCAACCCCTTGTGAAAATGAGACTTAAGTGATCAGTGATTAAGGAGATGATGACTTTCCAGGACGTGAGCTGGCTGGTTCAGGTGGCACTCTTCTGCGCCTCGCTGCTGGTTGTACTAGCCTGGCTCGTTCAGTTCTCACTGGCATTGCTTCACCCTAGGTGGTGCACGAGGGTTCAGGGCAAGAGGGAGACCCCATGGCAGCTGCCCTTGAGTCTCACCCACCAGACACTGACGGGCGGCGTGTGGGGTTCCCTTCTGAGGCTGAGGCTGGGGCGAGACGGGGCAGGGAGTGACACTGAGGCTGGCGTCAAAGGTCTTTTGTCCTCGCTTTTTGTGTTCAAGTCGTTCAGGGAGCACTGGCAGAGAGCTTGGGTGCGGGCGCTCAATGAACAGGCCTGCAGGCAAGGGGTGAGTATCAACTGGAGCAAAATTCAGTTTATTTTGAGACAATATGGTGGAGAGACATATGTAAGAGGTTTTGTATATACATACACATGTGTTTTCATTGCTCCATACATGTTTATATGTGTGTAAGAGTATTTTTAGGCTATGCAAGTGTGTGTGGGCATAATATCATGGCCTGGCTACTTGTTAGTGAATGTGTGGGTGTGAGAGTGTCAGGGAATGCAGGTTCTTGTGTAACAACCATACACACTCTCTCTCTCCTCCCAGAAAATCTGCTCTGCAGTGAGTATTACACATGACAGGCCTCAGTATATCGTCTCCTCTGGGGCTTCTCTCATGGAACCAAATTTGCACCTATTTTTTCTTAGCTAAGCAGTGTAAATGAGAGTGGTTTTTTTTAATGGCTGTCTTAAACGCAAATATTTTGCAGAACATGTGACACTCTTATTGCCTACGTGCACTAGTTTTATATTTAAGAGTCGCAAGCCACTTTCACACATGAAACCCGTTAAACTGACAGATTACTTTTTCCGGTAACTGTACCACATCTGTTATTCTCATAGGCTTTGGCTGTATGCCTTTTTTGTCTATATTGCTAGCATTCACATTTTGTGAAATGCTGAAATGAAAGCGCTTCTATCTATCAGAGCAGATTAAGATGTTAGTAAACGAATTACCCCATACAAATTAATGTGTAAAATTAATTTCTTAATTCGCTTGTACACGGAAAATAGTCTTTTGTTTCATTGACTGTCCAATTTCTTTGTACAGTGTACATTTCCATTCAAAAGTTTGGGGGCAGTGATTTTTTTTTTTTTTTTTTTTTTTTTGAAGAAATTAATATTTTTATTCAGCAAAGACACATTAAATTGATCAAGTGACATTAAAGACTTTTATATTGTTACAAAAGATTTATATTTCAAATAAATACTGTAAAAAAAATCCTAAAAAATATTAAGCAGAAAAAATGTTTTTAACATTAATAATGATCAGAAAAATGTACAGGTCCCAAATTTTTAACGGTAGTGTAAATAATCACAATTTTTGATTCAACTTTTCTGGCAATATTACAAATAAATGTTATATTTCGTCAACGGTTCCTGACCACAGACCAAATGTCTTTAGATTTACTCAAAAAGCTGTGTGTCTGAAAGCCCTGACATACATTTATATTGTTACTAGGGCTGTCAGTCGATTAAAACTTTTAACCTAAGTAATTACATGATGTGTCTATTAATTAATCTAATTAATTGCATATTAATTGCACCTCAATCTGGCTGAGAAATTACCCACAAAAGATATTTTAAAGCCAGTATTGTTACATGAGAAAAGCTTGAAATAGATATTACAAAAAGTAGCTTTAGAAAGAAATTGTTATTTTTTCACTTTCTTATTCATTTGAAATTTTTGGGTGAACTATCCCTTTGATTAGTTTTTTTATTAATAATATTTTTTTATTTCTTATTTTCAGATTTATTTTATTAAATTATTTTAATGATTAATTATTTTTAAAAGGGGTCATATGATGCTGCTAATTTCATGCTCCTATTTGAGTCAGTGATACATATTATGAGGTTGTGCTAGAGCTCAGAGAAAAGGAGGAACAGAAAGGTAACAAAATCATTCTGCCTTTTGAAAGGAAACAGATGAATAATGGTAGTCATCATTCTGTATGAACATTGATTCATTCTAACCATATTACATTCTGTTTTAAAGGGGTCATATGATGCTGCTAAAAAGAACATTATTTTGTGTATTTGTTGTAATGAAATGTGTTTATGCGGTTTAAGGTTAAAAAAACACATTATTTTCCACATACTGTACATTATTGTTTCTCCTCTATGCCCCGCCTTTCTGAAACACGTCGATTTTTACAAAGCTCATCGGTCTAAAAAAGTGAGGTGTGCTGTGATTGGCCAGCTATCCAGTGCGTTGTGATTGGCCGAATACCTCAAGCGTGAGACGGAAATGTTACGCCCCTCACATACTGTTGATGCCGTGACCGGCCGGAGCGACGAGTTAAAAACATGAAAACCCATTATAAACGAGGCATTTGTTGCATCCAGTGAGGACATAATTACTGATTATAATGACTTATTATACTGTCTTTTTACGTGTTGCGTTGCATTGCATCGCACCGCATAAACATAAAACTCTGTCTGCATTTGTGATCGGAGAAATGACAAACAACAAGTGCTGCTCTACTGCCCAAAACTCGCATTTGAATCATCAGTAGCAACGGAAAACACAGCGGCCTAGAGTGAGGGAAAGCCCCGGCTTAGCGTGCGCTGAGGCCGGGATACAGTGAGCTGAGGCGGGCTGGACTCCGCTTCGTCCACGGTGAAAGTTGATGTATTCCCTCAGCTACCAGCACGGATCAGCTCTAGGCATAACGAAGCGGATATCGTCCTCTTTTGGAAGACCAAACAAAGTAGCAAAGTAGCGTCTTCAGGACATGGCTGCAGCGTCAACAATACTACAGCGAGAATAAAAGTTATGCCTTCTTTCTTTGCGTGAACATTTGGGAGGCGTTATGCAAATCTTCCCAGATCGTAGGTATGTGGGGGTGTGTTAGAATGAGCCGTTTTAGGTAGGCGTGGTTGACTCTTAACTTTTATAAAGAATATCTCTTTGGTTTTGAGGCTTTAGTGTTTGCAACTTTACAGATCTTCTTTATGCACCAAGAGCTTGTAACACTCCAAAGAGAAAGGAAAAATTGAAATCGCACCATATGACCCCTTTAAGAAATGATACTTGAAATAAGAGCCTAACACTGCCAGTAGGTGGCAGTAAATGTCTTAATGAATAAGTAATTGATTGGTTGATTGATTGATTGATCCATGCATTCATTCAGGAATTAAGTAAATTGCTCTTTTTATGAATGGGCCATTGAATCATTGGTTCACCCGATTCATTCAAACCGTGGATTCATTCAGAAATTGTGTGTTGCTTGGAGACGCACAACAGTGGCTTTAATAGGTAATGTTTGCATTAGCAAAACTGAGCAAAAACAGACAATGTTGTGTCTAAAATATAGCACAATATTAAGTTTTTATTTATAGAACTGTTGTATAAAATCAATATCACATTTGCATTTGTGCTATTTGGAACAAAAACAGCACTCGTGTGATATTGCACTCGTTGCTCATGTGATATTGCTTATGATATAAATATAACACAAAAATTCATACAGGGGCATTTTTGCATCAATCTCTCGAAATGTAAGGGCATATAACTGCATTCTATAGGCTCCATCACGCAGTGAGTTGTTGACCCGCATTATGTTCATCACCAATCAACTGTATAGCTGTGTTCGGCATGAAGCGGCGCTGCGCAGATTGATTGTTGCATGACATCAAAGTACCATGAGAGCGGTTAATGAGCAGACGGCTCCATATGTTTTTGAATTGCTCTCGCAGTACTTTGATGTCAAACACCAATCGATCTTTGCAGCTCACTTCTAGCCAAACACACCTTATGAAATATAAGATGGCGTACATATGTCTAGGGTGTGGCGGGTGCGTTAATTGCATAAAAAATGTTAACACGTTATTTTCTTACATAACTAATTAATTAGATTAACATGTTAAATCCACAGCCCTAATTATTACATTACTTAAATGATTAATTATAGTACAGCAGTATTATAACCTTTATTTATGTTGACTATTTTTTTGTGATCAGCTCATTATCTCATGGCCAATCAGATACTCTGCAGTTCCACAATCAATTCTACATATGTATATTACTCTAATTATAAGAAAAACCACACAGATCACACAACTGGGTTAAAGGTCTCTTTAAAAACTGGTTTCCTCTGTAGCCCTTCATCTGGTTAAAAATGTGTTTGAGGGCTGGTGAGTTGTGTAAAGGTCTCCTCTCCTATATTTAACTCAAACTGTATTTGATCAGTCTGTATCAAAGCTCAGTCTCAGAAAAAATGAACAATGTCCATCCATCCCCTCTGTAGTCACTTTTCTCAGTGAGGTTATTTGATGAAGTCTTTGAAGATCAGTTCATCAGAGGACTCGCCATCATTCTAAGCGATGGTTATCTGCATATTTAGTCTGATGACTCCGAGATATGATCAGAATGTAGAAATGGCATTTTCACCCAATAGGCAGTTATGGTTGGGATTTAGAGCAAATTGCGAGCCTTCAAGGGATTTAAACTTCAATGCAGTGAACTTTGCTCCGGCACCTGAGCTATACAGAAGAAAATCCTTCCGTCTCATTTCCTTACCGAGGTCTCCAGCCGATAGTTGTGCCAGTTCAGCAACCTAGTTATTTTCTCAGGTTTTCAAAGTGGGGGGAGGAAAGGCTACAGAATGCAGTTATGCAATTGCTGTCCCTTTGTCTTCAATTTCTTCACAGTCAGTTGGTTTCTCTGGGGAAAGTGAGGAGGCAGAGGCTAATAAATATCCATGAATTAGTTAGCTGTTTAATTTAAGTGCATCTTGGCTGTGTGCCATAACTGCAGCTCTGATTGTAATGCGGTCAGCTGTTCCAAAAAGCAACTTAGCACTGCGAAGTGCAACGATTCTGCAGACTCTGTATGCGGGGGTATCAGGGACTCCTGAAGTAAGGACTTTTGCTAATGAATGTCTTTACCGTTAAGAATCTCCACTTGGGAGTGAGTCACAGGAGTTGATGTGATGTCAAATTTTTTCTGTGTGAGATTTTTTTATTTAAAGAGTAAATTCATGCCATTTTTTTTTCAATGGAATTGGCACAGGGTATGACTAGCATGGTTCTGTTCTTGATTTTTCAGTATTTGCATTTGAAAACTCTTTATTTGAGGTTTCATGATGATGTTATGGATGGTACGGCCTTCATTATAAATAGTTTCATGACTGTTTTCTAAACATACAGGTTATATTGGTGGAATGATAGTTTCGGGATTTTTTTTTTAACATACAGGTTATATTGGTGCAATATGTGCTGTTGTGTGAATCGAGCTAATTAAAACTAGGAGTGTAATGTTTTTGTCATATAGTTCTTCCC